ATGGCAATTATCCGAATGAGCAGAAAGCACTAAGTACAAAAACAGAATGTGACTTCCCCTATGTGTTAATGAGAACGGAGCGCAGTATACTAACCCAGTCGCTAACGTGAGTGATATGGGCTCTGCTGCAAATTCCAAGTGCCCTGATAAATAGCTCTTCTTAAAATCCACACAAAAGAAAAGTAATCTTAAAGAGAAAGCGTGCATGTGCTCACACAGAGCAGCTCAACAGCGTAAGGGGCTGGAATCATGCCCAACTCAAACCATTCTATGGCAACAGAAGATGACACAAGCATGGGCAATTCAATCCAACACAGGGGCTTTATTAATAATCACATGTTAGAATCAGTTTCTCCATTAGCCTCTCCCTTGAATTAGAGGGATGAGTCTAGTTCGTATGAAATGTAAGCGGCAGGTCAGCAGGCAGGCGCCCTTGAGGGCATAGGGAAGGAAGAAGGCAAGCTGGCTGGAGAAAGAAGGGTTCCTACAGGTATTTCTAACAAGTAACAAGAAGATCTGATCCCACCCAGGGAAGCTGAACTTCCCAGTATCCCTGGCCACTTGCTGAAATGAACAGCAGATGGTTACAAAGCAGGCCATGAAGAGTGAACAGGCTACAGAACCTAAACAACCCACTGTGTTCATCTACAACCCCCAAAGAAAAACTGCTGTATTTAAGATGACAAACCACCGTAGTTCCCACAACTGTCTCTCAAGACTATCTGAACACATTGCATTTTACTTTCCAAAAGAAATTATTAGCATCCTATCAAAAAGAGCAACTACCACTACTCGTGATTCACTGATAGCAGAACTGTCAGATTGCAAATAAGGTCAAACGATGCTAATCAAAATTTTTAGCCAATATACAATAGAGTATAGTCTACACTGGATTCTCACTGAGAAACAAAAATCTGCTACCCTTTACATAAATTATCAACCTAACATTGTTTTTACAGAACAATGTTTTATGAAATTTCAATCTATGTTAATTTTAAAAGCCCTAAGTAAACTGTACTTAAAAGTATAAATCACCCAACAAATAATTTTCTAATATTTTGTTGAAAAATAAGTGATATGTATCCCTTCCTAATACAAGAGTACAAGTTTTTAAATCAAATTCCAATTCACTCTCTAGAAGAGGACCAGCAAAATTCACAAACTGAAGGATCTGCTTACTTTTGCATAGAATAGAAAAGAGCACCACAGCTGTCCTATCACCTTTTTACTGTGGACCTCAGTTCCTTCACATGTAAAAGTGTCCCTTCCAATTGTAAAACTCTGTGGTTTTATAATTCCACTCCCAATTACGCACAAAATCTCCCCGTGTGATTTTGAAAGGGAGCTCGGACAGACAGAATGTGCTCTTGACCAGCATGTCCCAGAGTTCAATTCCAGCTTCAGAGCTATGAGTTAACAAATCCCAATTAGGACACGAACCACGGTTTACATAAACCGTTTAGTAAACTAAAAGACAACTGGGACACACAAGGATGCAAGTGACTCGTGTTCATTAGTCTAATAATGAATAATTAATTAATTTGTGCACCAGCGGAAGCCTGAGAAGAGAGTGAGAGGCCTCCACTGCAGAGCTGGAGAGGAGTATTTCACCGTTTAAGTCCATTTCTCTCTTCCCATCCAAAGAAGTGGTAATGCCAGATTCTACCATTGTGATAACTATACAGAAACCAATAATCTTAAAGAAATAGGGAAAAAAGAAAAGAATGACTGGCTATAAAGCTAGATGTATTGAGGTGAGTTGATACTGCTCAAAGAAAGACACTTAACTACTGTGCCTCACCTTTAAAGTTTACAACTCTCTGTGAAAATATATCAGGACACTTAGAGAATTTCTACATAAATTTTTTTACTTGAAGATTTTTTTTTAATTCTTAAAAACATCAATTCATTGTAATGTGGAAAAGTAGGGTGAGTATAATGAATTGCCACATTATTTTCCTTTTTGATATCTGAATCTTAGACCACAAGATGTTGGATAAAGTTGGATTTTATACAATCAGGGGCCTAAATTTAACCTCAAGTTTGACAATAGAATACATGAGAGGGAAATTCCTCACTTACTAGAAATGCTCTTTATAACAAACTCTGCAAGAAGGCCACAGTGAGAGATACCTCCCATGCAGCTGATGGTGCTCAGGGCAGGCTACCCCAGGAAGCACCACTCTGGTATGCGGATTATTTCAAGCTGAAGACAATAAAGACTCAGAGAACTCAGGAAGAATATTTGAGTTTCCCCTCCCAAACTGCCTAAAGAATTTAAAACAAAAGATCTGTTTCAGGAAGGAGTTATTATCATGACTGCTATAAAGATAATGTAGGCTAGAGGTTACAACAGAAAAGGCACCAACAAGCCCATCTTATCGGAAGTTCTGTCTCTTCTGGCCACACGCTCTGGATGGCCCTGCGAGGAGTTACCAGACAATCATTTACAAGGGAAGTCTCCATTTGTAAAGGTATCTCCCTCTCTGTATTGGGAAGAGGGGGGATGACCTCATTTCTAGAGACTTATCAATGTGGAAGGTGAGGCCTTAAAACTGCATAATAAACCTTACTCTTGTTTACAGTGCTTTAGTGATAATCTCCTGTAACTGACACCCCCCCCCAACATCCTCCTTGTCTTTGGTTGAACGTGGTATTTAAGATGAGAATTTCTGCTATTGTGTTGAGAAACGCAGTGTCCCTGCTTTCTCCCATGTATACATGTTATTAAACTTGGTATTATTTTCTCCTGTTAACCTCTCTTGTTAATTATTTGGCCAGCCATAAGAACCTTAAGGAAAAGGGCAGAGGGAGATTCCCCCTCTTCCCCCAACACAGCCATGCACACTAGTGCTACCAAGCACTTTCCACACTGTGAGCTGTTGCAGCAAATTCTAAGTTCACAGAAGGCAGGCGCCATGCTTCATCTTTTAGCAATATTGTGTCCCCAGTGCCTGGACATCAGTAAACATTTGTTGAACTGTTGAATTTACAAGCAAAAAGGACCCAGATGTGATTAACCAATCATCTTATTTTACTGATGTGTAGTAGAAATAATAAAATGCTCTAACTAGGGAGCAACTAGGCACATTTTTAAAAGATCCTGGCTCAGTTTTTTTCTTCTTTTTTTTGGTTGAGCAAGATTCGCCCTGAGCTAACATCTGTTGATCTTGGCTCAATTTTTAAATGACATTTTAACTTACTGTGTCCCACTTTAGGATAGTATACAAACACACCAGTGATAAATAAATGGCAAGCAACAGGATATATTGGAGCATATGAGGAAGCCATTTGGTGTAAAACTAATTCAGCCTGACCCTGTTTTTCCAAAAGGGCCTGTGGTCTTTGAACATGCATTATATATCTGCTTTAAGCAATTAACATGTCCCAAAGACAAGAACAAATGCCCTTGAGATAAGGATGCAACTTACCCCACACTAGCATTTCCTTAAGGATAAGCATTTCTCCCTAGGCTAGGATTTGATTGCTGTGCTCATCCCGTGACCACCCAACTCGAGACAACAGACCTGCTACCTGCCGCACCCATTGACACAGCAGACCTGCTACCTGCTGTGTCCATCAATCACTGTGCCAACAGGGCAATCTCGTGACTACTGTAAAAGGGACATTGCAATCATATGTGATACATGCTCCTTGACAGTATATAACTGCTCTGTACACTCCACTTCTTTGGTGCCCTTGCTTCCTTGGGGAAGGAAGGCCCCAGGCTATATGGTCCTCAAATTTGGCTCATAATAAACTCACCCCAATTTTGATTTACAGATTGGTTATGGATTATTTGCGTCAACACCAGTAAACCAGAGAGCACCTGTCCACACTAGTGAAGGATTTATTACCAAAACAAACCACTACAAAGTTATCAAAAAAACAAGTATCCATGATGCCTTTTACATGATTCTATTTACCAAAACCACAAACATTTTTCATTATCATATCTACTGAAGAGAAAGCATTCAAAAAAAATCAAATCTTAAAAATAACTATTCAGATACATAAACACAATCATGACTGGAACTAAATATTCTAAGGCTCCACATAAAACAATCCCTTGCAAAATTACTCATATATAGATAGATAGCTCTCAATGACCAAAATTCAGTAATTTTTGAACCTTTTTCTCAAATGCAAGCTTACTCTGGATGAAGACAGAGACAATGGCAGAGCTCCTACCCCTACCTCTGCATGCTTCCACTCCACCCCAACCGCCCTGCTGACACTGCCCCTCAGTGGAACCCCAGGATCCTGAAAACCTTAAGACTCTACTACAACTATGGACCTCACGTCCTTCCCAAATAAATGTCATTAAGTGCTTGTTTTAAAAACAAATCTCTTTTAATGATGAATTATTAGCACAGACGAGCAATCTTTTATTAGTCCCTTTTTCTTTTTGACAGTTCAACTTAAAAAAAATAACTACCCACCAAAATCATCTTTCTGAAATAAAAATCAGCACAATCTTTGATTACAGATAACAAATTGTGTGTGACATTTCCTAAACTAACCTCCAATCTCTTTATTCATGTTTAGACAGTTCTCAGTTACAAAAAAGAATGAATGAACAGGACATCAATCACGGTGGAATATTAGCACCTTAAAGATGTCTTTAGCAGGTCAATAATCTTTTCACCTTAGAAGGACTTTATCAGATCTTGTCTAAAGCCTGGATAAAAGCTCTGCATTAAGTACTTCTAACAATTGACAGTGTATCTCCACCACACAAAGCTGTTTTCTTCCTTAGGGTGCAATCCTCAAGGTCACAATTCTGTGCAGCCTTCCTGAATGACAAAGGAGCATTACCTCCGGCCAAACAAGCTGTCAACACAAACTTTGTCACAGCTCAGATAAAGAAACTGGCAGACAGTGATAATAAGGTCTAATTTCTCTCCCTCCCAAGGGAGGTAAATAGATTTCAAATCAGTCTAGAAACCTATGCCCAGGCAGCCATGTTATCTTTGACCATACAAAGGAGAAAGACTCACTGTGAATTCATCTAAAGGCTCGTTGATCTCGATGTCTAACACTTCGTCATTGTACAGCTGCTCCTCCTCTGGCTCTTCCACATACTCAATGTGCTCTTCTGTCAGCTCAGCGTCGTGGCCTTCATACTGTCCTTCTTCTGGGTACTCGTGAGCATACAACTCAGATCCATCGGATTTGTGATAAACGAGTTCATCCTCTCCTTGTTCATACTCAGACTCCTGTTCTCCAGATTGGTCATTAGTGTTGTCAGACAGTTCAAATGATGTGACCATGCCAGATGTGGTATTCAGACTAATTGTGACACCCTGAGAACTACAAAGGACAAAAATACAAAGAGAGGTGCCCAATTAGAGTGGAGCTCAAAACTAAATCATTACACAAATTAACTGTTACAAAGACTTAAACCACGACCAGGGAAAGGTTATTCCAGTGACTGGCAAATGCACATTGACTCCAACAATGACTGAAAACAGAGCTCAGCGTGCTATACTGAGCCAGCACCACAGACTCCTAATGCATACATCGCCCCCACTATCATTAGCTGCAGGTTATTTGACCAAAACAATCAGAGCAACCAGCCGGGAAAACAGGTCTGACTGGCAAAAGTCCAGGACTGAAAGCAGATAGATTATATTTCATTCTAACTTTCAGAATGAAAAGGATGGAATGAAAGATTTCAAAGTAAAAGCAGGAGTATTACTCTATAAACAGAAAAGTGCAGATGGAATTTTAAGAGCAATTTGTTTTCTTTTTTAACTCTATGATGCAAATTCTAAACTCCTATTTTAAAAATCAATATATTAAAAATCTACGTGAAAAAACATTTCAATGTTCAAATAAAATTTATACCAGTCACAAATTTCAAAAAGGTTAGTTCATAATTTCTGAGTAAAATAATAAAGAGGGTTTTAAAACTACAGAAAAAAATCACTTCCAACCTATTAAATCACAACAGTTAAATGCCAAACAATAAGTTGCAAGATAACACTTAAAATGTAAGATTTTGCAGATAAATTTAAGTATACAACCCTAACAAAAACAGTGAATATGACACATAGACTTGAAGATATTATACGGCTAAAAAACTCCAAAGGGACATTTCAAGGGCAACTTAACTAACTCAAAAGATCAAAACATAATAACGACGTCAAAGAATGGAATTGGGAAACTTAAATACCTGGCAGAATAAATTAACTTAAAACTATTTTTACCCATAAAAATTACTTTACGTTAAAAAACCTGTTACAAATCTATAGCTTAATAATAAATGGCATATATTTGTTAACTACATTTATAACTAAGAAGCGTCTCTTTATATTTTCACCATAACTGCTTCCTCATAAAACTGAAAAAATTATTCCACCTTCCAGAGTATAATACCTCTTCCTCTTCTTATAATAGAGCTTACTATGTCAAGAACAGAAAGATATTCATTATTGCTATGGACTAAATATTTGTGTCCCCCTAAAAGTCACATGTTAAATCCTAACCCCCAATGTGATAGTATTAGGAGGATGGGGCCTTTGGGAGGTGCTTAGGTCATGAGGGTGGAGCCTCATGATGGGATTAGTGCCCTTAGAGAGCTCCCTCACTCCTTCCACCACGTGAGGACATGACACCATCTATGAACCAAAGAGTATGTCCTCACTAGAACCCAACAGTGCTGGCACCCTGACCTTGGAGTTCCCAGCCTCCACAACTGTCAGAAATAAACTTCTGTTGTTTATAAGCCACCCAGCTTATGGCATTCTGTTACAGCAGCCCGAACAATGGTATTCAGATAGTCAACCAGAGTCTAAAGTACAGTCCAAAGGAATTTCCAAAATGGCAATTCAGTAAACAGATATGTATAAATAAAAATTGTCTAAAATGAAAACAAAAGCAGCAACATCAAACTGCAACCAACGTTACTGAGTCTGGGGCCACCGGCCTCTACCCAAATAAAGGAATTCTTTAAAAAGCAGCACATACCTGTTCTGAGCTTTCACACCCTGCATTCAGCAGAACTCATGAAGGCTATTAAATACAAGACCAATGCTGACTTTACACAGTTGATCTATTTATAAAGATATAAATGGCTTCCACATCAAAGTTATATTAATATCTTGTTTAGAATATAGTCATATGCTAAAGATATAACGCCACATTATCAATTATATTCCATTACAATTATAAATTACAATTACTATCAATTTAAATAAAGAATATTTTTAATGAGCTAATACTGAGTACCTGAAATTTTCTTCGTCTTCATTATCACTCTGTAAAAGATCATCATTTAGCTCTTCATCTGACAAATCCGACTGATTCTAATTAAAATAAGAAATCTAATTAATGCATGTCACATCTATAAAAGACTTGCTACAAAAGCACAAAATTACCTTGACTGGATTGTTTCTAACCTTATGTTATTAAAACATTTGCCATTCAGAAAGTTCTCAGTTTGATATAACCAGGTGACAATTGAGAAATTCCACATATGGCATACCAGACTAATTTTTAGATGCAGATTCAAGCAAGTACAGAATTAGCAAGCATGATGATCATATTTATTCTAACTCTAACAAAAAAGGAAAAAGGGAAGGGTCCTTTGGTGGTGTCCTACAAACAAATAATTTTTTCTTATCATACACAAAAATGAATGGTATCCTTAGGACTGGCCCGGTGGCGTAGTGGTTGAGTGCGCACGCTCCACTTCAGCAGCCCAGGGTTCGCAGGCTCGGATCCCGGGCATGGACCTATGCACTGCTTATCAAGCAAGCCATGCTGTGGCGGCGTCCCATATAAAGTAGAGGAAGACGGGCAGGGATCTTAGCCCAGGGCTAAGATCCTCCTCAGAAAAAGAAAAAAAAAGGAGGATTGGCATTGGATGTTATCTCAGGGCTAATCTTCCTCACAAAAAAAAAAGGATGGTATCCTTAAGATTTAACTAAACTTAGTGTTAATATCCAAAATCTAAAGACTTTTTAAACAAAAAGAAAAAAAAGTAGAATTTCAGAAAGAAGCAAATTTTAGATAACTGGATCACCAAATTGGAATGGTAAGGGAATAAACTAAAACTTCGGTTTGTCCAATACAGGTGACACAAGACAATAAAGAGGACGAGGGGCCAGCCTGGTGGCGCAGTGGTTAAGTACACAAGCTCCGCTTCGGCGGCTCAGGGTTCGCAGGTTCAGATCCCGGGCGCATACTGACACACCGCTTATTAATAAGCCACGCTGTGGCAGTGTCCCATATAAAGCAGAGGAAGATGGGCATGGATGTTAGCTCAGGGCCAGTCTTCCTCAGCAAAAAGAGGAGGACTGGCATCGGATGTTAGCTCAGGGCTGGTCCTCCTCACCAAAAATAAAAAAAAACAGGACGAGCTCAGGTCCTCACTCCCGTTCTTGACGGGCCTGTGCACTCACCATGTCAGCAAGTAGAGGAAGCCTAGTGATTCTGTCAAATGGTCAAATTTCTACAGTTCCAGGTTTTATTAAGTTAAATATATACCAGTATCTTAGATTTAAGGGGAGGGGACTTCACCCTTTCTTCTCCTATTAAAATTATTTCTATCATATGTGTAAATTACCACTCCTCCTCCGAAAGACAATCAACCCCCCCACCCCGACACACACACACACACACACACACACACACACCCCGGGGGAAAAAAGTAAACACAGAAAAAAAAACTTTGATTTTCTATTTAAAGATGAAACAACAAATAAGCAGTCTTTTCCTGGCATTTTATAGCTTATAAAAATAGGTTTCTCAAACTTGTCTGTATATTCTTCAATATAGTATTTTCGATATAAGCCAAAAAATATCAATCTTATTAGCCATTCTTATTAGTCCAAAGGGACTCCACCTAATCATTGACATTATAATAAGATAAAAATAAAATAACATAGACCATGTACTTAGTTTACTTAAGGAAGGGAGGAGGATCTGTATGCAAACAAAACAGATTGCTTAACAGAGCCCAAAGGAAGTTCAGTTTAGTTGCCCTGGTAATCTGTCATCTATCAAGAGGGATGAGCCAGGCCTGTCACGGGAGAACCTAAGTTTAGCTGCCCAATTCATTAAATAAAACCACGGGAAATCTTTAAAAATTAACCATTCAATGAAAGCCAAATTTCACTCAACAAGCGGCTGCTTCCTTGAGTCTTTTTGTTAGACTTGTAAGTATTTGTCAAAAATGAGTGAACCAATAAATAATTCACCAAACAAAAAAAGGAATATATGTTGTAGTGGGCCCTGATGGTAATCAAATCTCACTTTTGAGTTCTGAGGATTCAACTTTCTGTCTCGATTCTGAACCTAATGAGTAATGAACACAGGAGGCAACGATCAAAATACCCACTTTACTGATGAAACTGGAATGGAGAGCTAGACTAAATTCTTGAGGCGAAAGCTGATTTCCATCTATATCCCAATGAACTGGAGTGAACTGTTTCCTCAGGCAAGGGTGGAGTCAGCTAGGGAGGATTCTGCTCAGGGTAGTAGCAGGCAGGCAGGGCAAACAGATCCCAGGAGAGGAAGAGAAAGTGGCAAGGAATGCTAGTGAAATCCTTTCTCCCAATCTCACCAACAGACGGGTTATTCCTTTCATGGGGAGAGAAGCAAGTATGAGAGAAAAAGAATGCTTCTCCAGGACTCTCAAGAATGTAGGAACATTTATGAGACAGCAGGAGTTTAAAAATGGGGAAAGAATGGCTCCCCAAAAATTCTCCACCACGGGCAGCTTATGGAGTAAAGAACACCTGGTGTACCAGAAGAGCACCTGCCCAGTACTAGCTGCTGCAGAAGTGAAACAGAGATGCTGAAGGAGGAGTTGTAGACCGGCAGGCAGCCGTCATCTCAAGCTTCCCCAATTTTTAAAAGCTCCAACTGGGTCATGCCAGCTTGCTTCATCTTGAGTGTGCAACCTCTCATTTTTATCCTATACTTAAAACTTGACCCTAACAACCTCCCTTCTTGACACACATGAACTGGTCCTCAAGTTGTTCCTTACAGTCTGACATTTTCACTACACTCAGTAAATGGCTATGCACCCCTCTGGCCCACAGCAGCCTAAGAGTCTCTCTCCAGACAAAGCTACGTCTCCACAGATGTCATGGGGGAAACAGGGGAAAGACAGTGGTGGTCAGGCAGCCAGTGTACTCACTACCTGGGCTCCAGTCACAGACTTGTAACAATAAACTCGCGAATAAATACCTCACAAAATGTTCAATCTCACTAGAAACCAAACAAATACAAAGGAAACCAACTAGAAATCATTTCTCATCTACCTCACTAACAAAGATTTTAAAAAAGAAGTGATATCAAAGCCAGGAAACGGAAAGGTGGAAGACATGTTCATATACTGCTGCTAGGAAGTGATAAAGTATTTCTGGAAAGGGACTTGGCAATATGAGACAAGAACCTTACAATGTTTATACCCTTAGGCCAGAAATTCCCCTTTATGGAAACTGCCTAAGAAAAGAATCTCAAAAGCATAGTAAGATTTGTACATTAAAATATCATTATAATGTTTGAGATTTACTTCAAAATAATTCAGGAGGTGGGGAGTGAGCGGGTAAAGATGAAGCAAGACTGCCTTTAACCGGAAATTGCTGAAGCAGGGTGACAGAAGCAGGAGGGTAACTGTGACACTGCTCTCTCTTCCTCTGTATATGCTTCAAGTTTTCCATAAAAGTTTTTTAAAAAGTCATAAGCAATGAGCAGGAAACAACCCCAATGGCACATAGGAATGGCTAGGTATACCGTAGTATACACAAACACTGAAATATTACGTAGCCATTAAAAAATATCTTAAAATAACACTGAATGATATGGGGAAAATGCCATTGATACAATGTTAAATTAAAAAAAAGCAATGTTATATATATATATATAGTATTTAAAAACACATGGAAGGGCTGGCCCCATGGCCTAGTGGTGCACGCTCCACTTCGGTGGCCTGGGTTCAGATCCCAGGTGCAGACCTACACCACTCGTTGGCGGCCACGCTGTGGCAGCAACCCACGTACAACAGAGAGCAAGACTGGCACAGATGTTAGCTCAGGGTGAATCTTGCTCAAGCAAAAAGAGGAAGATTGGCAACAGATGTTGGCTCAGGGCAAATCTTCCTCACCAAAAAAAAAAAAACCACACATGGAAAAAGAATGGAAGGAAAAATGGCAAAATGTCAGTCATGACAGTTTATATCTATTTTTTTCACTACTTCTTTTTTAATATATTTGAACTCTTTTATTCCTACGAGGGACAGTGTATTTATTTTATGTTAAGAAAGAAGAGAGGAGGAAAGAGGAATATCCACTGTTCCACATTAAACAAACTGGTCCAAGGCAGATGAGGGCCCTCCCACTGAGACAGAAAGCCTCAAGTGGACATCATGTGCCCTGGCTGCCGTCGTCATGCCTGCTCCTGTTCCATCCAAAAAGTGACCGAGTTACAAAAATCAACCAATCCAACTGAAAAAAAAAAGGGAAGACTACTTCCCCAGAACCATCAGCATAGTGTCCAAACCAAATATTACTTTTTGTCTTTATTGATAAGAGTCCTGACCAAAGCTTTCACAAGATGAAGACAAATGCACAACAGAAGGGAATTATTAGGGCTAGTAGGACTCCCTGCTAGACATATAGGGCAAACTATGATATATCAGGCTTGCCCAGGATAGATATCCAATATCATGTAAAAATATTTTACTACATTTAAACATCTGAACATCTACTTGGCATTCTTCACTAAAGCATCTTCAATAATCACAAAGGAAAACTGTGTCCACTTTAGGGCAGTGGACTCCCAAGTGCAGCGAGAGCACTTTAAGGACGTGCAAACTAATTCACCGCGTTAGAAAGAAGGCCCCTCTGTGACCATGACACAGGAAGGACTGGCTCTGTTACCCTGCATCATACTACACACACAGCCTCCTGAGGCCAGAGGGTGAGCTCTCAGCATGGAAGGGCTGAGGGGCACTCTCACTGGTTTTTCACTTTCAATCATTCTGATGTGTCCCCACTGACTTATATGAGGATCAAGTGGATTTACAGGTAACTAAAATAATTCTTAAGGAGTTACAGGTGAACTCTGTAGGAGGTGGCTCCTACAGAGCCACTTAAAGGAGGAAAGGCTGGGGTAGGCCAAAGCCAGGCCACCTGTAAACTGATGGTACAGTAAGAAACAGGATACAGAAAGAAGAGTGGCTTCAAAAGAATCCTACAACAAATTCATGTATTAGCAAAAATGCTAACAATGCAACATACTAAGTTACAAGAAAATGGGAGAACTGGTACTTCTCCTACTATGAGACCTTCATCAA